AATTTTTCGTTTACCTGTGCACGTTAACGACAACACCGCGTTCCCACTGCCCCTGTCAGTGGCCGACACACAGAGAGCTTTCCTCACAGTGTTATTTGTCAATATTTGGAACTAAACAAAGCTATGCTATTACAGAAAAAAACCAACTGGATGCCTTCCCGATAAGATACCAGTCAACCGCACAGTTCCTTTGGCACTATTTAGAGGACATACGGATCTCAGAGCTGATCTCCGGGCCTCAGCACAGGATAGCCTCTCTTTCTCAGACTAGTTGTTCCTAATCATTAATACCCGGTTAACTACTGGTGAAAAATCGGGAACTAGATTGAAGGGGGACGACTTCGCCCACCTCCTCCCCCACATTGCATGCCAAGCCAAGTGACGGTAATTGGGTGGTTTGGGGTGCAACCACAGCTACCGGCATTTGGCGCGTGACAAGCTAAAACCTTAAGCAAAAGCCGCTGTTAACTGCACCTGTGGTGCTGCGGTGGTAAGGTCAGAACATTTCAGTACCATCTAATCTCCATTTTAATTTCAACCGTTGCGGTCGGCCCGTCTGCCTGTGTGGCCGCGGCAGATCATCTCAGAGGCGGCTACTCCGCACACTGTCGTCTGGCACATACAAGGACACAATGAAACCTCCGGAGCGTCCTCATACTATCGAAATCGCTTCTCCACTGGATTATCGCAAACGTCCTGTGCGGTTTGACGGGTAGTGCCGTTTGTCACGTCCCTGGAGCTGACATTTAGACGGGACCGGTGCCACGTTCAACGGGCCGCTTATGCCGGCACCGAACCGGCATCGTCCACTTCGGCACCGATCAAGCGCTGCCTCACGATGTGATAATGAGGATCTACACGGGATTGCGTCAGTCCAGTGCAGATCCTCATTACGTTCAGTGCAGCGCTCGTGAGGATGCACTGAACGGCTTGCTCAATGCACGCTAGGCTCGCATGTCACTAGCCGAGTACCGGCATACGCCGTCTCAGCCGAAACTCAGACATTACTTCAGCCATGGCCGTACGTACTCCGCGCAGTCACATCATTTTTCATTCGGTTCCTTTTCGGTGGGGGCGCGTTTATCACAGTACAGCGTGACAATGCGAGTCGGGAAGCGCATCCTTATCGGAACGCGCGCGGAAGAACCTAATAGGAACAAACCGCCTAGGATTGGCTGTTCTGGCTACTGTACAGTAATACTAGCCCACTATGACATATCCCTACAGTCAATGCATGGCCTGCGCCACCGTCGACTAACAAATCATGCGTGGTTTGTTCGCCGCTGTATTGCGCTTGCGTTGCGGTGCAGCACTATGCACTTGATATTCGAGTCCAATCGCGCGCGTCGCTAGAAATGCTCTTTAACAAGTTTGACACCACACCATTTGCGATGCGCTCTGCCAAACATACCTGCTGTTGTGAGAGGCCGGCTGCCGGCCGGCACCGGAGCCGTGCACCTTGAGCGTCTCGCGCAGCAGCGCGGTGACGGCGCCGTGGCGCACCTCCACTGCGGCGACATCAGGTCGTCGCAGAGCAGATCACACCAGCACTCCAGCGGCCACTCGTCACTCTGAAACGGCCGCGGCCGGGAACGAACGTCACGCGGCTGTCGCCGGCAGCGCTCGCCTCCAGCGCGCCGGAGCACGCCCGGCGAGCCGGCCGCCGCCAGACAACCAGCCACACACGGCAGTCAGGACCCGCGCCATGTCACACCACGCTCGGGCCTCCACCGCTAACGGGCGAGGGTCTGGAGACGCGCGCTCACCTCGTCCCACCGCTCGACGCTGATGTAGGAGGACAGCTGACGCCTGGGTGGCACCGGCGAGTCGTTGCGGGCCAGCTTCGCGGCCGGCTCCCCGGACCCTGCGCGGCCCACACCCATGCGTCACCGGCACGACTGCACAGACCACGCCCGGGCCGAGTCACGGTCACAGGGGCCAGTCAAGCACAGGACGCAGATGGAAGGCAACATCAGTCATATACAATTATTTGAAAGTGGTCGAAACAACGCAACCTTGCCTCGCGTTCTGACTATGGGAAGTCGCCCGCCAAGCGAAGGAGGGAGGGGCGAATTTACATGGTGATTTGTGGTGGCCTTACATCCCCTACAACAAAAGCAAATGCACAAAAAAATGAAGCGGAAGTCCTACGTGACCTGTACATTAAGACATATTTGCATCATCTTTCGGTGTCGACTGACCACAACCGATGCTGTCAACGGGCGAAAAATAATGTGATGGGCTGCACGGGTCTATGAGCTTACGAGAGTTTAGGACAGGAATGCTTCCCAAAACCTCTAATTACATGCTTTGGTTGGTCGCATCACGCAAGCACATGCTCGACAGTCGTTTGGTGGCCCGCCAACAGGCGATTGTGCCGCCGCCGAGCTCGGATCACACAACCCGAGACGTGACCGGGCCTCATCCCAGCGCTGCGAACGCCCGGCCGGCTGGAGAGAGCCCATGTCAGGAGCCTAGTGACCGTGACTAGTGGCCGTGACTAGTGACTGTGACTGGTGACTGTGACCAGTGACTGCGACCAGTGACCGCGACTAGTGACTGTGACTAGTGACTGTGACCAGTGACTCGTGACTGTGACCAGTGACAGCGACCAGTGACTAGTGACTGTGACTAGTGACTGTGACCAGTGACTGCGACCAGTGACTAGTGACTAGTGACTGTGACTAGTGACTGTGATTAGTGACTGTGACCAGTGACTGCGACCAGTGACTAGTGACTGTGACTAGTGACTGTGACCAGTAACTGTGACCAGTAACTGTGTCTAGTGTCTGTGACTAGTGTCCGTGACCAGTGACTGTGACCAGTGACTGTGGCTAGCGACTGCGACCAGTGACTGTGACCAGTGACTGTGGCTAGCGACTGCTACCAGTGAATGCGACCAGTGACTGTGACCAGTGACTTGTGACTGTGACTAGTGACTGTGACCAGTAACTGCAGCTAGTGTCTGTGGCTAGTATCTGTGACCAGTGACTGTGACCAGTTGCTGTAGCTAGTGACTATGGCTAGTGACTGTGGCTAGTGACTGTAACTAGTGACTGTGACCAGAGATTCTGACCAGTGACTGTGCCTGTGACTAGTGACTGCGACTAGTGACCAGTGACTTGTAGCTGTGGCTAGTGACTGTGACTAGCGACTGTGACTAGTGATCAGTGACTGTGAACGCGACTGTGACTGTAACCAGTGACTAGTGACCGTCACCAGTGACCAGTGACTGTGACTAGTGGCCAGTGACTGTGACTAGTGACCAGTGACCAGTGACCAGTGACTGTGACCAGTGACCAGTGACTGTGACCAGTGACTGTGACCAGTGGCTGTCACTAGTGACCAGTGACTGCCCATGTGCCTGTGAGGGCCTCGGGAGCGAGGCCAGCCGCTCACCGGGCGACGGGACGCTACTGGGACTGCACCGACGCCGCCCCTCCCTCCGGCCGCGGCGGCTCGCCTTGCGGGACGAGCACGAGGACAGCTCCACCTGCAGCACAACGGCCGGCAACTTACGGCACGCACATGCGCTACCCATTTTCCTTCTCATCGGCATGCACTGCAAACACTTGTGGAGCATCAGCCCGGAGCTAGGCGCGGCTCCGAGAGCAGCTGCACGCTGAGGGTCGCGGCCCCGACGGTCTCCGAGAGGAGCCCCCATTACGGCACGGCCAGGACGAGATAAACATCCGCACTCGTTACTGTTGTACAAACTGCGCACCTGCAGTACCTACACAGCCAACGCCGTTATCAGGCCGGGCAGTGGGTTCCAAACCAAACGCGTCAGGAGACGCTACTGCCGCCTGCAGCCCACGCCGCAGCATGTGAGCAGCGTGAATCACTAAAGAAGCCGCCCTTCCGAACGCTTCGCACGTGTGCGCTGAGCTAAGACTAAGGAACTCCTGTTCACGAAAGGAAGCCACAAGCTTGCATGCTTGCGTTTGTTTGCGGCAAGCACAAGAGCGCCGGCCGCACGAGCACACCAGCATGCCCCGGTGTGGGCGGGAGCCGTTTCGGGCGCCGAGCTTATCCTCCGCTGCCCCCGCTGTGATCCAGCGGGATGGTCACCTGCTGCGGCGTGGTCGCCAAGTCCTCGTTGGAGAAGATGGAGGACGTGTCGAGGCCGAGCTTCTCGGCCACGTCCAGACCCAGTCGCTTGTTGAGCAGCAGCCGCTGGGAGGAGACGTCCGGTCCTGCGGCGGCCGCACCGTCAGCCGCCAGCTCGGCTCGGCTCGGCCCCACAGCCGACATCGCCACGAGGGTGCCAGCTGCCGGCGCCGACGTACCGGCAGCTGCACTGGCACCAGCTCAGCAAAGCGGTACAGTGGCGGTGTCTCAGCTCGCGCGTGATCACGTTCCGAAAATAGACGATTTTCGTTCTACAAACAACGCCATGTTGTTTTTGTGTGCATCCATTCCGCGACAGCAATTTCAGGGGAATGTTTCCAATTTGAAGATATTGAAGCAAGTATGATATACCATGAAACGAACAGTGGAAAAGACTGCTCTAAATAGCACAATTTTCTGTTTAGTACACATGCTCCTCGATGCGTCATGGTTTGATTGCGTCATCGTACCTTGCACAATATTAATTGAGCCAATTGACGGCCGTTATATCTGGAAATCGCGCTCACGAATGCCAGATATGAACGCCTCGACAATTCTATTTGTTTGGCTTGATCGCCGCATGGGTTGTGGAATAGCAAGAATTGAATGACGTTCTTATGGCGTCATGAACGCCAAAGTAACTTTGAAATACTCTCTCCCACACATCTTTCCCATTTTCGCGGGCCTGTACCTCAGGAAATAGAGGGGTCTAGGCCTGAAGGGCTGGATCGTGAACAGCACCGAAAGGTCTTCAAGATGGCAATTTCAGTTCAAAGCCCATGTAAATGCAGAACACTCCCTTTAGCATAAGAGAAACCAGACACGCCAACGCATATCACAGTTTACGCTGTATATACGTTTTAGTGATCCAAGTGTTTCCCTTGCGCCATCCCAACGTGGAATCCCAACATGCAGGTCGTGACCAATGGACATTCCAGGGTCACCATAACCCCACCGCGTATGAATCGTGGCGTATATGTTATCCAATGCTGGTGGAGCTGGTAATGGCAGCGGCCGCACGAAAGGTCAGGCAACGCCATCGGAAAACGCCATTGCTCGGAACGGGCCATCGGAAACGACGGCCCGTTCCGAGCAATGCGGCACGTCAAGTTCTCGTGGTAAAGCGTTTCCTTTTACCCAGTATTGGACGACCGGAGGGTGGGGTCAGGGTTCGCGCGAAAAGCGCCGCTCAGCGCGGGCACTGACCTCAGAAACCCATTCAATCAAAAGACTCGAGCGAAATCTTCAAAAAGTTCGAATACAACCATTTCAACATTCTGATATAGCCAACAAACACAGCTGACGGCTCCAGTGACGCCAGCCCGCGTACAGCTGAGCCGCGTGCACTAACCGTCGGCCTGCTCCATGTCGCAGGCCTCCAGCGAGGTGAGGATGGGGCCCGTCTCCAGCACCTCATCCACGCGGAACGTGTCCAGGCTGAGCTGCACGTGCGGCACGCGTTCCGCCGGGCACGCGGCCGCCTCTGAAACCCGAGCCGGGCACGTGTCACCGCGGTCCGTACCTACCGCAGATTGTTGGCAGAGACCTCCGCGATGCTGTGGACACCAGGGCAGGCGTCTGCAGCACTGCACTGCCAGCACAACTCTTGTAAAGCTGCACTGCCATGACAAACATCCGTGACGCCGTAAATTACGGACGAGCGACCATTACGCCACGCTGATGTGGCAGTAACAATGCACTGCACTGTGGCACTGCACTGCGACACAACAATGCAATGCGCAGCACAACGTGTCCCAGGACAACCGAACGCCATGGAGGTGATGGTGACGGCGAGCCGGGGGGCGCGCATCGATCAGGTGACTCATCACACACACCGCAGAGCGTGAATGAGAAAATCATGGCAGTCAAAAGCTGCCAATATGCCAATCTGCTTTGCCATCGCCGTTCTGGGCCTGCCATCGATCCATCCGGGCCTGAAGAGCAACTGGACTGACAATGCACGCAGCACCATGCAAGCTGGAATGCACACAGGCTTGCTGGACAAAGCTGAATGTATACTTGACATGTGGTGGCCTTTGTTGTTGTTCGTAAAACAGTGCCACTGCTGAGTAGTTTTCTACCTTACCAAATATACTTGATGGCGAAAGAAAAAAAAAATCAAATCAAACTGAGTTTCTGCCTTTCTGCGGAGAAATTTAAGCTTCCTTACCTCGATTGTCCTCAGTAAAAATTATTTGAAGGTCTTTCGTTCTCAGTGAAATGCCATATTGTACACTTCGTGAATACCGTGAAGGTATTCTTCTCACGTGTTGACGTGAAGATAATGCGGAGGACTGCAGGCGCCGTCCGATAAAGTGTCATTCCTTTATGACTAAGCATTTAGCACTTTACCTTAGCACTTTACTTAGCACTTAACACACAACATTACGACATTTTACGCGTCGACTGATATTCAGCTTTAAGCCCAACATGATTTTCTCCACACAAAATGTTCTTTCCCTTGACTGCAAAGCAGTTGTTTCACGTGACCGGCAAGGAGGCCACGGTTGGGTCCGAGTAAAGGTTTGCGCACCGCCGAAACGGGGCGGCCGTGAACTACGTGAGTCAGCTCACGCCAGGACACACGTCCGATGGGAGGGAGGCTTGCTGTGACGTCAAACCAGGCGTCATCAAACCATCTATCCGGGTCACGTCGAGATACTTCATCATGGACCCAGTTTGACAATAATTGAGCCTTAGGGGCGGCCCATGAAGTTGATGGACTATACCGACTGTATATTGACTGTCACACCTGTCCCTGGCCTTTTCAAAAACTGCGTAGGCCTCTGATGACCCGAACAATCCAAGCTCAACGCAGTTGAGCCAGAGCTTCAAAAAACATCACCCTTGCCCTCGCCCCCCCCCCCTGCCCACCACCACCACCACAAAAACCGATAACGCAGTGAGTCGTCAGTAGCTTAAAAGCAAATGATTCCAAAAAGCAGGCGTCAAGCTGCCAGAGGCAGTTCACCTGAACAGGTCGCGAACATTGTCACGAACTTTAAAAATACAGCCCTGTGCGGGCAAGGGTCGTTAGAGCTCTCCCGAGGTCACATATAACGGCCACAGAATCACACAGTATAAAGTGGTAGTCATAAAAGTAACAAGATGAAAAGTGAAAATACGTAATACCAGCAATTACGTATAAAAACGCAAAACTACCTTAAAATAACGCAGACACGGCTCCCTCACAGATGAATTACGGAACGCATTCATACTGCCTTGAACAACGTGATTTACTAGCGATATATGACATGTTAAGTACTGTAACCACTAGTAAAGCACGGTATATATGCACAATCAGAGATAGGTTCAGCAAGAAGGTCCTAAGTAAGGGCAGCCTTCTCCGTCCGCTAGCGTTAGCATGACGATAAACACCGCAGCGCACTGCGACAACAAAGTCATTAGGGCGTCTGGGCGGGTTACAAGTATTTCTTGAGTTGGGCCGACCTGCGGCGTACCTGCAGAAATCCCTCGCTCAAGACCACACAACCTCTGCAGGCCCTTTTCCCATACGTGGCAGAGGTAAGGGTGTCATGCGAAGCCGTGACCGGCGCCGGTGTGGCGTAAGCGGCAGAGGTAAGGGTGTCATGTGAAGCCGTGACCGGTGCCGGCGAGGCGTAAGTGGCAGAGGTAAGGGTGTCATGTGAAGCCGTGACCGGTGCCGGCGAGGCGTAAGTGGCGGAGGTAAGGGTGTCATGCGAAGCCGTGACCGGCGCCGGTGTGGCGTAAGTGGCAGAGGTAAGGGTGTCATGCGAAGCCGTGACCGGTGCCGGCGAGGCGTAAGTGGCAGAGGTAAGGGTGTCATGTGAAGCCGTGACCGGTGCCGGCGAGGCGTAAGTGGCAGAGGTAAGGGTGTCATGCGAAGCCGTGACCGGCGCCGGTGTGGCGTAAGTGGCAGAGGTAAGGGTGTCATGTGAAGCCGTGACCGGTGCCGGTGTGGCGTAAGTGGCAGAGGTAAGGGTGTCATGCGAAGCCGTGACCGGCGCCGGTGTGGCGTAAGTGGCAGAGGTAAGGGTGTCATGTGAAGCCGTGACCGGTGCCGGTGTGGCGTAAGTGGCAGAGGTAAGGGTGTCATGCGAAGCCGTGACCGGCGCCGGTGTGGCGTAAGTGGCAGAGGTAAGGGTGTCATGTGAAGCCGTGACCGGTGCCGGTGTGGCGTAAGTGGCAGAGGTAAGGGTGTCATGCGAAGCCGTGACCGGCGCCGGTGTGGCGTAAGTGGCAGAGGTAAGGGTGTCATGTGAAGCCGTGACCGGTGCCGGCGAGGCTTAAGTGGCGGAGGTAAGGGTGTCATGTGAAGCCGTGACCGGTGCCGGCGAGGCGTAAGTGGCGGAGGTAAGGGTGTCATGCGAAGCCGTGACCGGCGCCGGTGTGGCGTAAGTGGCAGAGGTAAGGGTGTCATGCGAAGCCGTGACCGGTGCCGGCGAGGCGTAAGTGGCAGAGGTAAGGGTGTCATGTGAAGCCGTGACCGGTGCCGGCGAGGCGTAAGTGGCAGAGGTAAGGGTGTCATGCGAAGCCGTGACCGGCGCCGGTGTGGCGTAAGTGGCAGAGGTAAGGGTGTCATGTGAAGCCGTGACCGGTGCCGGTGTGGCGTAAGTGGCAGAGGTAAGGGTGTCATGCGAAGCCGTGACCGGCGCCGGTGTGGCGTAAGTGGCAGAGGTAAGGGTGTCATGTGAAGCCGTGACCGGTGCCGGTGTGGCGTAAGTGGCAGAGGTAAGGGTGTCATGCGAAGCCGTGACCGGCGCCGGTGTGGCGTAAGTGGCAGAGGTAAGGGTGTCATGTGAAGCCGTGACCGGTGCCGGTGTGGCGTAAGTGGCAGAGGTAAGGGTGTCATGCGAAGCCGTGACCGGCGCCGGTGTGGCGTAAGTGGCAGAGGTAAGGGTGTCATGTGAAGCCGTGACCGGTGCCGGCGAGGCGTAAGTGGCGGAGGTAAGGGTGTCATGTGAAGCCGTGACCGGTGCCGGCGAGGCGTAAGTGGCGGAGGTAAGGGTGTCATGCGAAGCCGTGACCGGCGCCGGTGTGGCGTAAGCGGCAGAGGTAAGGGTGTCATGTGAAGCCGTGACCGGTGCCGGCGAGGCGTAAGCGGCGGAGGTAAGGGTGTCATGCGAAGCCGTGACCGGTGCCGGTGTGGCGCGGCGCTGCCTCACCTGCGCAGCCGGCTACGGGCTCGGGCCGCCACTGCGGCACGCTGCTGACGATGGCCTCGACCGCCTGGCCGGCGGCGATCCGGCAGTCCCACGAGCTGCTCTGCAGGTACTGATGCACCTGGCGTCGCAGCCCCGCCCGTGTCTGTCAGCGGCCTCCCGACCCGGCGGCGCGCCAGCGAACGCTCGGTGGCGCAACGCAGTCACCGCGACACAAGACACGCGATAGCGGAGAGCTCGCAGACGCACCAAACAACAGTGCAGTCACGGTAACACACACGCCAGCACTATACTAACGAGCACCCACGCATCCACACATAGCCACCCATACCTACCCACACCCACACCCACACCCATTCACACCCACCCTCACAACCCACACACACACACAAACACCATCCACACCCACATCCACCCAAACTCACAACCATCCACGCTCACACCCACACCCACCACCCATCACCCAGTGATACACATACCGATACCTCCAATTGGCAGCGGTGCGGTACACTGCATACTCTCGGAAACACACGTCAGTGGCCTACGGTACTGCACGCAAAGGCGCACTTAACGCAAATTACAAGTGTCGCTACGGTAACGCACCAAGCCGCCCCAGCCGTGCACGCCGTGCCTTGCCGTGCACGAAAGCGGAGCTCAAGAAAACGATACAACACCGCCACTTGGACTATCTATATACATGCATATATATGTAACAAGACCATGGTAGTGCCACCGAACAAGGCCCCGGTCTGTGGATTCAGCAAAAGCAGGAAATGAACGCCGCACCCAGTTTTCATGGGATTTAGCGCATATCGTCACTGAGTGGACCTCACGGCAGACAACGCCAGCAGCACAGGGCTTGCCGCGAGTCGGCGCGCGGGGGCGAATCTGCTACTGACCCTGTCCAGCAGATTGTACAGCTCATGGGGGTGCATCCTCTGGACGTCGCCCAGCTGCTGGGCAGCCGCCTTGCGCGTGAGGGCCGACGAGCCGCTCTCCAGCAGCACGAACAGCCGGTCCAGTCTGTCGAGACAGCGTGCCGCCGCCGTCAGACGCGCAGTCGGCAACACATCACAGCCGTCACCAGCAATACTAGTGAGGCGAAGGCTGTGTACGGCGCGTCAAGGACGACAGAGGCTTTTTGAGAAGGAGAGGGTGATGAATGCACCCAAATCTGTATGTTGGTCGCGACTGTTCTTTCAAAATGCAACAATCTGACTACATTTGGATCTACAGCGGCTGTTCGGCCAACAGCAGCACATACAACACAGCATCCCGTTTTAGCCAGAGTCAATACACGCAAAAACCACGACACGGGGGTCAAAAGACACTCTCGGGGGGGGGGGGGGGGGGGCAGGTGGCTCCAGGTGGCGGTGGCGACGGCGGCGGGGTCTCGACAGAGAGGCTGCTCCTACTGCTCCATCCGATCGCGCAATTCCAGGCAACAACAGAATTTAGCGGCGATAGCTTAACGTGCCGCAGTGCTCGGCACGGTCCGTCCTGCCCTCTGAAGTCAAATGACCTTTAGCGCGATCGCTATCACCGGCCGCAGGCCAGACCTGTCAAGGGCAAATAGCGAACGCCCTAAAGCGACTCGAACCCGGCCTGCCACGGGTGGGTGGATCGGAAGGCAGGCGCTCTGACCAACTAAACCACTGGGACGGACAGAACTGAATAGCAGATGGTTTGGTACCAACAATTTAGATGTGCCTTGCAAGGTCGCTGACCTATGGCAGGTCAAAGCCAAACCACGCATTCAGCGAAGTAAATTTCTAAGGAATCATTCAATCTGATGCAACAACGGAGTGTTGGACGAAACATACATCTCTGAGACACTGTCTTAGGCAAAACAACAATTGAGTGAACAAATATTGACCTAGGGTCAGGTATGAAGAGCAAACCAACGTAAAAGAACAACCTGTGCTATTACTATACGACTTGCTGAATGAAGGTATTTTCTGGCCTTCATTTCGAATTAATTGATGACAGGAGCCGCATTATACTTATTTCATGGTTTCTTAAAGGTCAGGATAGGTCAATGACCTAAAATGATCCGGATCAATAGTATGCTTTTAGGAGCATTCTATCTAGCGTGATCCTTGTCGCTTATTCAAATGCAAAACTCAAGGTAGTTTTGCATGGTTTTGGTCACCATGACTTTCAAAAGGTCCAGACAGGTTACTGACCGGAAATGAGCGCGCGAGCTTCTGCTTAGAACAGTTATCTAGGTTCTGGGGGCACTCTGGAGACCAATATGGAAAAACCAGAGAGTTTGACCTTGTTTGATCTTATCTGACCCGAACGTCATGATCTAGGAAGCTCATACTTTGGCCTAAGGGAGTTCACGTACAGGCTACGACACCCTGTGATTTTGATGTCTCTAGCTCGTTTAGTTCCTGATATCTCGGGGGAGGGGTAAATTAATCCCCACCCGAACGAAGGCTATCCAACCAGCCACCCGGGCGCGTGAAAAGCGCGCAGCAGAAGTATTTCCAAAACTACCACAGGACTCAAGCTTTTCGTTCAAATAAATGTGGTCCTTGCGTTTCCAGGTGTGTAGTCTGGCAAGCCCGGCCCTCGCCCTCATCTGTCCAGTCAAGAAACGACAAATGTAGCGACCAGCACCTTTCGCAGGGTCCTCGCTGCCAGGCTTTCGTGCTCACGAGAAGCAGTGACTTCTTTTTCTGAAATTTGGACGGACTTCCCGGGAATGTCGTGCATGCATCGACTCATGATACATGTCATGTATTTGCATGTATCTATGAAACGTCGACGTGAACATCCATGTATTTAACGTCTATCTATGGAACGTCTACGCGTATCTTTGAAATTTGAAACGCCAGTGCTGCGGCGACGCCACGAATTTTACATCCCAGCTGTGTTAATGATTGAACGCGTTTGCCAACAAACATTTTGGCTCTTTATAACGTCAGGTTTTTGCCAGACTGCTGGTCGTGCCACACAGCCGGACCGCTGCTCTTGTTGCGGAGGATGTCTGCTTAATATATGTTTGGCATGTCCCATGATGTCTTGTGAACGTAGATGCATGATGTACAAGGTAAATTCCAAAAATAAGGTCCGTTCTGCTGTTGTGAATAAACCGCTTGACGTGGTATCTAGTTCCCGTTTTTTCCAAGCTAAAGTTGTGTTAAAATTCTATCTATTTTCCTCGCACACAAAATAATTCCGCGCTGCATCTTCTCTGGTTTGAGAGGTACGAGCCATTTCCGATGTCTTTTTACATGCCACCTGGAATTTTGCAATCATTTTGACGCTGGTTTGCAAGCGGCGAGTGCCACTAGAGCACAACAGCGTGCGGTCATCAGATGCATGACACTGCAGAAAAGGCACGTGATGTTGACAGAGGGAAGACCCGCAGGCCGACTCCACTCAAGCGACTCAAGTGGAGGCTGTGATAATGGAATATCGTGGCGTGATGACCGGCCAGGTAGGTCAGGGCTTCGGTATGACCAGCGGGACGGGCCACCATACTCTCATGATCACCGCAAGACGTCCAAAGTTGCCTCAAGGTGAGTGTCGAAACAGCTATTGCGTAAGAAGGTTTAACACGTTACGAAAAGGAGATATTTTTTCCGTTTTTTTTTGTCAGTTGTCACCGCAGACGAGAGCTAGTTTCCGCTGTTTAACCCATAGACTAACAGGCGCTCGGTGACGAGGCTCTCTTAAACCCGTGTAGCTTATGCCTGCAAGTTCGGCCACCCCGTACGGCAGTCAAGGGGGGGGGGGGGAGCACCGGGCCAAAGCGCGAAGGCCAGCCAAGTTATGATCTGTGTGCGCCAGCCGTCCTTCTGAAGCGACATCTTTTGACCGAGAAAAAGTCATTCCCAGCACATTTAGCGTCTTATCACCGGCTGCTTAGCGATCGTGGCCAGTAATCATAAGCTTGACCCCAAATAACATATCAGCATACATCGTGTGCTGCCACTAGTTAGCGCGAAACTCGGCGGGTGCCCGGAAGCAATCTTACGAAGAGCAGCACCTGAACCCACCTGGTGGTCATCGTCAGCTTCCACTGATTCTATCCCGTAGATAGATCTGATGCTGGATCCAGCGCTCTGGCCAGGCGTCATCACCTGACCGACCTGCCAGCAAACCGAACATAGGTCAGGGCACGACTGAAGCGGCGTTTATCAGGAGATCGCGGAATGCCAGAAATGGACGAAAAATGAGCTCGCCTCTGAACGCAGAACACAAGCCGTAAAATATGGGGCCCGGTGCCATGTGGCCAGTGCGAACCGCATACTACTGCAGACTTAAAAATGCACGGTATATCTTTTGCAATGAAAAAGCAAACATCCACCTTAAAGTATACGAAGTGTCGAGCACTAACCCAATCTGTCAGAGGGACCATGCGCACGGGATGCGCGAAAGCAGGGACCATTCGAAAGAGAAACATCATGCTTTACTCGTGGCTTGCTTCACTTCCACACCAGGAATGTATTTTTGCAAAATATGTGTTGGGCGGGGTCAAAAGAAAAGAAATCCCAAACTGATTCTCAAAATACACAAAAAACAGCTTTCTTCTCGGCTTTGAACAACTTTGATCTCAAACTTCAAGACTGAATTTGACAGCATGATTTGGACGAATCCTTATCTGAAGCACAACGCATACTTGGCAGCGCCAATACTATTGTTTGATGCTAAAAATGCTGTCATTTGTGCAGTACCACGGAAAACGGTTACCGTTTTGACCGTTGTTTTTTTCGCCGTGAGCCCAGTTTTTTGTGAACCCTTTTATTTATACCGCAAATTAAGTAACTACGTTGACAAGACTCCGGTGTTATTCAGCGTGTCAATAACCTCTGACTATTCGGTGGTATGAATCTGGTCAGTTGTGTGCCGAACTACTACGCTCCCCCTAACGAAAACATATACACACGCTACAGAAAACAGAAATTTGCTTCAAATAGACCAAGACGATTAAATAATGCACAACTTTATTTCTCTCCGCAACCTAAACTATACGACCATGCCACGTCCACTCCTTATGCCTGAATGCGGTCACGGCCTATTGCCGTTGCCAGCTGGTCACGTGACATTTGGTGCGCGGCTAGGCCAGAAGGGTCGCATCAACGTGCCACATTTGGGACCGGATCCAACCAGCGGCGCTCCGTCAGTACAATCGCACATTCTCCACTGTTTTAAGGTGGGAAACGCGAAATTCGCAACAAGTACTGGAACAAGTTCGAAACCGGGTTCATATCCCGGTAACGAGGAGGGGAGGGTGAGTTATAGCGAAACGCAACTGTCACATTTCGACTCGGAAAAGGACAGGCAACCGCAAAGACACGCGTGCGAATCGATGCGTCCGCCGCTCACGCGCGTTTCGTGCAAGGACGAAAGGTTCAACGATCCTGAAATATTTTTTTTCAGGATTGCCGTCAGATCTCAGTGACCAGAATAATTAACGACGTGAGACCAATTGCAGTGGGCAGGTGCATGTATCGTTCACAGATATGAGTCAGCTCCACATAGGCAGGCCCATAGTGACGTCAGCAATCGATCGGGAAATAATGAATGTCGCGGCTTTGGAGGAATATTCCGAATGCGGCAAGCTGGCAGCTAACCCACGCATGCTGGGGTCGTGAAATTGATACGAACGTCAAACCAAGTTCCGGGTGACTGTCACCCACGCAAAATATTCAAGTCATTCGCAGTACTTTGGTTGAAATCGCCCGCCAGGTCCGTCACTGCACACTTCCCGCTTTTGTCCGTGCAAAATACCCCTCGCATTTGCCAAAAAACGCCGCATACGCATGGACACGGAAGTCGCGACTTTGCACTAACGTCCTACACGGATGGACTTTCAGGCGCATTTATTCCGGCACTATTCAGACGTTAAGGCGATTGGCAGCCGGATTAATAGCCACAAGGGATGAAAATGAAGAGCCTGAGACAACAGCATGCCATGATACCTATAGATAGATCGATAGATACAGACAGATGTGATGATAACAACATGAATCATGATCTGCACTGACAATCAGCAGTTTGGGTGTTCAGTTGGAGCACACTATGGAGCGCAGCACTATGGAGCACAGCAGTTGATGGGGCAATTCTATCATACACAGTGTTTATAACATATCTATTTGACGGATATTTAGACATGCGAACGGATATTCGACAGCTCGAGGCAAAAACGACACGGAACAAAAACAAGCTGAATGAGACAAAAGTGTTTTATTGTACTGGCATACATATCCGCTCTGGTGCACAGCTTAACTCGCGCCGTCGAACCTAACACATGCATCGCCCAATGTAGCATGTGCCGTAGCGGACTTTCCGTAATGAACATTTAGACTAGCCTATTTCTGGGATCAGTACGAAAGCTAAGCTGTGCTCATGTGAGTCCTGACCATCCGTTTTGACAGCCATCATGACCTTCCGCCCGATCGTGAAACTAAGCGGCGATGGCAAAATTTTACGTCGTAAGCTTAACGTACCGCAAAGCTCGGCACAATCCATCCTGTCCTCTGATGTCACTTGACCTTTAACGCGGGCGCCATCATCCGTCGCCGCCCACGCCATACTAGCCAACGGCAAATAGCCAGCACCTGAAGCGGCTCAAACCCACTGCACCACGGGTGGATGGATTGGAAGGCAGGGAAACAGTTTAGGCAAGAACACAAGAACACATGGGGATTCTCTGTAAGCCCACTTGCTTTGTTTAGCTGTGAATAGGTCTGTGGTATGCCATGTCTAAAAATGGCAAAATATCTCCTACAATCTCTAAAATGGCAGCTAAAGAAACATGGAAAGGATGAGCTGTGCTCAGTGATCATTTCAGATAGGTGGGTGGAAATCTCCTCAAGTCTGTCTAGTTTCAAGGAAAAAGCAAACAACAGCCATTCACTTTGTTGTATGATGTCTGTAACATCCGACAAACTTATTGGGGGCAGAGACAACACAGTCAGATTTATGCTGCTACAGCAACAGGTCAGGGATCCCTCACATCACAAAGTAAAGGATGAACACAAGTTGATGGGGATGCCAACCTGGGTTAACATGTGGGTGGTAGGACAGTCTAAACACCGCCCCTCCAAAGCATGTCGTGGCCAGCTCTGAATGGAGCCAACTTATCCTTGTTAAAACTTGGAAAAGTCCTGTAGGCATACAAAAACTCAAATTGTCACTCTTTAACTCAAACTGAATCATGAGCTACATATCACTGCACATTATTTGATAGTAGTTATATAATTTGGAATTCCTCCACATTTCAACTTTTCCTAGTTAATCATGTAAGCAATCAACCTGGGGATGATATTGGCTTCTGGGAGTATGGTGGGACAGCTGTAACTTCTTTGATGGGATTTGTCAAATAAGTACATGTCTGTAATGTTTTGAACTACTATTATTCAGCAGTAGACAATTGAATGGGCTGTGAAATGATGCATAGGCATGCCTGATATGGTCCTTCTGGCCAATGACCTCAACTTATGCTATGCACATACATCCATGCCTATTATCAACAATAAATAACCAAAAATCAGCAAACACACTTTCACTCTCCATATTTCTTTCATAAAAACAACAATAGTGGTGAGCATCACAGAGATACATCACTTCATTTTGAAGGCTGTATGCTCACTACAATTTCAAGGTACCATACATGACTATCAATAACACTGTTTTGTGACTATCAGTGGTAGTGTGTTGTATATAAGTGATGCAGCATAGTTTTGCTGAACAGAATAAACACCAACTGTCCAAATCTTGCCTCCTCCAAAAAAGGTTCATGCTTAATTTGCTGACCCTGTATCTGGATTCCTGTTTTAAAACCACATTATGGAGAAAAAATGGGAACATTATAACAAACTATAACATATCCATATCTTCAACCCAAGCTGACAGTGGCAGAGGGCCTATCCAGAATGACAAACACACACACACAATGTATATACACAAATCAATAAATTTATAGATATCACGTATTGAAAATGGTGGCTTCCAAGCCAGCTAGCTACCTGCTAACTAACAAGCTAGCAACCCTCTGCAATCAGCTGCAGGTATAGAGGAAAATCCATATACATGAATATGAAGCCTGGACATAGCACGGAAAAAGGAGCCGATTGGCAAAAAACAGAAACCTCAATATATGTTACAATGCTTTATAAAGTAACTTATTGTTTGTCCCAAGAAGACATGATGATCAACATGATTTCTTCAAAACAATTTTCTGTGATTTACTTATTTAACAGGTAGTAAGATGCTTTGAGGCAAACCTCCAGCTAATGAGCTGAGTGACAAAACCAAAGAATTCCTATGGCTTGACATACACCAGAAAACTAGTCAGACAATTGAAATATGGCCTTGATTTTTAGATCACAAAGTGCATTTACATTGACTGACTTAATTTAAGAATATTTGGATCCACTTGCCATTTTACACACAAAAGTGACACTAACTCTGGAACCTGGCACCAGTAACTAGCTATCAGCTGGTCACAGTCAGCTCACCAGTCAAACTCTGGAGATGTTTCAGCTGGCTACTGACCCAGAAACGAACTGGTTGGAACGACTTACAGCATATCTGTTCATTGTGTCTCCATCCCTTCCAGATGGCATCATGCAATTCAACAGAAACATTAATACACCCACAGCAACACAACAGGATGTTGTTCCTAGAATCAGTATCCAGGGATCAGTTAACCCCCCCCCCCCCCCCCCCCCTCATCCAAATGATTTTCGAGTCTGAGGTTCACGGATGCAGAGAAAAAGCATGACCATCAGGTACCTGAATGGTTTGTTACGCCGCCTCACACCAGCTCGCTGCCCACCCGGGGATTAAAAAGGACAACCCATGATAAACTGTACACCATAACAATGTGCCCCAGTTGGTGAATCCATGCAGTACAAGTGTTTACAGACGTGAAATACGAGCTTCGTTTATCACATAATCAAAATCAACTTGTACATAGAAACCCACCTCCACCACATCTATCGGGAGCCATTCTCCGCACACCATGTCATTTATATACTGCGGGAGATGCATGCGCGTTTGCGAGTTTTCAGTTCCTCACTTCTCTCTGATTGGCTGGCTGTTTCCGTTGGATAACTGGGGGTGAATAGCTTATGGCTAAAGTGCTGCCAGGGATATGTCTCAGCAGATTAAAACATACTCATTGGCCAGACAGTAGTATTAGCCTCATGCCTCGGAGAAAAACCAGGAAAACCCAACTCTGTCTCCATTCTCCTGGTTTTTGCCTTCTTATCTTATCTATGTGAATAATATTCCCCGCTAATGCACTGAATAACTAACATACTTTTAGGCGTTTGATTAGCACAACCCAGCAACTATTCCCTTACTGGAACATACCTAAAGGAATTCATTTGATCAATAAGACAAATATTAGCGGTGATATGAAAATAATTACAATATCACGTAAGTTTTTAGCGGCATTGTCGAAGAACATTATTCATGCTAATTAGGCAGCGGTAATAGCCTAATTCCTCGGAGAAAAACCAGCAGAATAGAGATATAAATTGGTTGATTTTTTGGCAACGTGCCTTCATCGAAATGAATAGCAGAGGTTGATTCAAAATTGCTTGCCGATGATGCTACTCGATTTTTCGTTTCTTTTTAACAGTGGGTCATAGTTTGTACCGGACACCAACATTCAGGGAATTAAACAAGGCCATTACTACCACACAGTGCATCCTACTAAAAATTCGAATACGCGAGAAATACGTGTATATGCTAACAAGTTCAAGCAATTCTATTTTTTTCTATTTCGCATACTAATTCTTAAGTTCATATAATGCACTGTATGGTAGTAATGGGTAGCAATGGCTCCTTGTTAATCCCCTGAAGGTTTGTGTCGTGTAAAACCAGTGCCTCGCTATTAAAAAAATGTGAAAATCGAGCAGGATCATTGTCAAGCAATTTTTGAATCATTTCTGCTTTTCGTTTCAATAAAGGCATGTTGCCTAAACATCACCTCATCTATATCTCCATTTTCCTGGTTTTCTCCGAGAAATGTGGCTATATTTACACTGTTGCATCTATAAAGATCACAAAATAGGCGTTTTGATCACTACCCGCTTCATCTTTATTGAAGGGAGTGTTACACATTTGTGCGGGGCATTGAACTGAAACAGCCATCTTGGAGACGATTGGGTGCACTTCACAGCCATACCCTTTTTAAGGCCTAAACTTTTTGGTTTCTAACCTAAACGCCAGCAAATGTGTGTTGACTATTTCGCGAAGACCATTTCAAGGTCATCCAGACATCCACGATATCATATAACGTCATTCAAATTCTGCCATCCATTAGTCATGAGGTGATGAAGGTCAGAAAAAAATTGTCTAGTCTTTCACGTCTGACTAGGCTAAGTAAGATTTACAGATATAACCGGACCGCCAAACGGCCCTCAATCAACGTTGTGCACGGCGATGAAGTAATCAAACAATGCCATATTGATCGGAGCATATTTGCTTAACAAGGAAATTGCCTTGTCTGGGTAGTATACAAAGTATACTAGTAGTAATGAGTGGGCATATCTCATCATGTCTGGTGCTTGCTTCTATATTTTCAAATGTGGAGCATTTTCTGTAAATGTGTTATATCTAACAAATAATTTATCTCGTATATCACTGTGGTTGATGGTACCGTTGCCTCTAAAGGACTATACATTACCGACGTTACGAATTTTGTCGTTTTCAACACTAGCTGCCACTGATTACGTACTGGCTATGCTGAGCAACATTCTCCCTATGCCTGGCTACGCTTTGTTAAGTGTAACATCCGGGAGCGGATCCAGAGGGGTACTGGTGTCGATGGGGCTATGCTTTTCCGTCCTTTGGGCCTCTGTGAGGCTTTGGTGCCTCTTCGAAACATCAACATCTCATGACGAAAGGGCACCAAAACCTTACTTCTGAACCTCTTAACCGTTATTTTAAAGACATACACAATTCTAGGAACTCCACAAATATCCCCAAATATTCATTTTTGAGAGGCGCTAGATTTCAGATGCATCGCAATGCCTGCACAGTTTCCATTGACAAAATCCCGAATCGGCTTGTTCAGCAAAGGGCGCACTCAAAATTTCTTTCCGGGGGTTACATGCGCTACTGGTACTCGCATTGATCGCTAGCGACCTGTGAGAATGCATCCCATCTCATCTGTCAGTCGCGAAGAAATCGCCCATCAGCCAACTTTCTAATTTCTGTCAGGACGAGGACGTTTCAACGCGCGGCTATGACATACGCCTACGTTCCGCGCAGGACTTTCGCCGTCGCTTCCCGCGAGGCCCTCTTGCCTACGTGGCGCGCGTGTCCACCTCCGCTGCTACCCGCGAGAAGCCATTCGGTAAGGCATGATCTGTGACGCAATTAGCCCGCCATGACAAAACAACATTCGACTGAACTCGTGAAAAGTTTGCAGTCACACCAAGCTATATGCAATATATGAACCATGCAAGGTAGAACTATTGACGTCTAACATGGCCCTGACTACGAAACGTCCTGCCTCATGGAACAACAATAAGACCGCATATTTTTCCTTGATCTGTTGTTTTCCCGCAGACTGTTCAGCTGAACGCGTAGAAAACACGAGGCGGGGGTCAGCACGCGATTTGACACCAGACATTAGCAACAAATGTGCTAGATTAGGCATGCTTATTAGGACAACACGATGCGAGCACGAAGCGGGGTATGCGACTTATATGCAATACAAGACAGTGTTAGAGATCGTAATAAAAAAATCCTGCGGAACGCTCTTTTCTTTAAGTAATAGCAAGTACCACTCGGTCTTCACTAGTGCTGTCCTCTGTGTGAATTGACCCGAGCCGTGACCCGGGTGTTAGCGAGGAGCCGGGTGTCAGGTCTCGCTGCGAGAGGACAGCAATACATCATTTCATGTGAGCTGTTGCGCCACCTGCTAACGAGAGCTGCCTATCAGAGGAAGTGAAGACTGAACACCTGGCGACGAGCTTTCGGACCGGCACGGGCTTTGTGTCACCGAATTTAGTCAGGAGTCCCGGGAGATGTGGCAGCGATAGTGGAGCCGCGGACTGCGGACGGTGGAACTTGGTTTCACGAGTCCCGGGAGATGTGGCAGCGATCGTGCAGCCGCGAACGGCGGACGGTGGAACTTGGTTTCACGAGTCCCGGCAGATGTGGCAGCGGTCATGGAGCCGCGGACGGCGGAAGCTGGACAGGGTGACAACGTAGAGCCATCGGCGAAGTGCCTGCGGGCCTAACGTGACCTGCGGATTCGTTCACGTACTGGCGTGCCGGGGGAGCCGGTCGTGCCTTCTGTCGGGGTTCGACCCGTCAGGAACAGCTGTTTTGGTCGGTGGTCAGCTGCTCTGTTCGGCGGATCGGCGCCTGGAGGCAGAAGCTGACCCATCCTGTGCTAGACCGGCCGGCCCGGGTGATGGTGAGCGGAGCTTTTGGGGCGCCAGTGAACAGTGGAACAGCGCTGGTGAGCGATCCCTGGGGCGTCAGTGAATGTCAACTCCAGGCCAAGGTGACCCGGCGCACTGGAGAGCAGATTCGGGAGGTTATTTTTGTGGAAGCCTATGGCTCGTTTGGTGGCGTGGGCAGAGGTGCAACATGACATTATGGCTAACTGCTGTAGACCCATATAGGAGTGGTGAAGACTTGGAGAGATGGTCTAGGGGAGTTGAGCGATATATGGTGGCACTAGATATCGTTTACAGTGGACGTAAATGTGCGATGGTGTTGCACTTTTGTGTTCAGTGGTGGCATGTCCGGGAGAGGGGGTAAAAGGGGGCAAACTGACCCCCCCCCCCATCTGTTGGGGAAAGGCCAAAAACAGACCTTTTCGCCACAACGCATAATTTCCGGTGGCCCGGAAGGGACCCTCAGGTATGTGGTAGTGCTTGCTTACTATGTACCAAAGCAAGCGTAGAGGGCCTATGTCTGGTCCGGAAAGGGTTCATTTTAAGCTCAGAAGGGGTTCCTTGCACGTCCACCAAGGTGCCCGTCTTAGGACTGAAATGGCCCATTTCATGTCGGGAAAACAGTCATGTCAGTTCCAGACAAGGTAGGGGCCCCTTTTTGGTTTGGAAAGGGCTCATCGCAAGCTCAAAAAGGACCGGTCTCAGGTCGGGAAAAGGGCCCATCGTGGGCTCAGAGAAGGCCCTCTCCAGTCTGGAAAGCGTCCTTCATAAATTCAAAACGGCTCATCTCAAGCCAGATTAGGACCTAGTACAGGTTGAGAAACGGAGAACCTTAGGCTCGGAAAAGGCCTGTCTCGCTTTTGGGCCTGGGATTTCTGGTCTGGTCAGATTTTCGGGCTGGAGTGGGCCCATCATAGGCTCAGAAAGCCAGTGACGGCGTATCCGCGGGCAAACTATCCCAGGTATGAGGTAACGGTCAAAACTATCGTTTCCTCCGTATTCCAGGTGGCCTGAATGGGGCTCCTGGCGGATTTTTGGAAGAGATTCGTTTGTTGTGTATCCTCCAATTAAGTATAGAGAACTCATTTCAAGTCTAGAAAGGGATAACTACAAGGCGGGAAATCCCCATAACCGTTTCAAGCACGGGAAAGGCCCTTTTACGGTCTGAAAAGGCCCATTATAGTCTGAAAAGGGCTCGTCTGTGATCAGGACAGGCCCCTTGCAAACTCCGAAGGGTTCGTCTCAGGCCTGGTTGGGGACCATCGTGAGCGCAGAAAAGGCCCTATCAGGTCTAGAAAGGGCCCGTCGTAGACTCAATCAAGGCCCTTGTTATTCATGAAATGAGACGTTTTAGACCGAAAAAGTGGGCATCTCAGGCCCGGAAAGGGCCCATCTAAACGCTTCAGCCCGAGAAGAGCTTGTCTCAGATCCCACAAGCTCCATCTTATGCCAGGGCAGAGGCCAAGGTTTTGGTATGGAGGGATGGGAACGGCACACAGCTGGATAAAGGGCGCCCGGTGAAGAGGTACCCCGAAAAATCCCCAGACTTGGCCCATTTTACTTCGAGAGGCCCCAGTTTTCTTCAGCTGCATTCATGATATGAGTG